TGATAAATCTTAGGTATTTGTTAGGATTGTTGAGTGATATGTACTAATGAATTATGTTTTTAATTGCTTTTTAATCCTGTTCTTAACTAGAGAGCATCTAGTTATGATAGAATAAGTTAATGGTGTGTTTATTTTTGTTTGCATCAGGGAGGGTTCATGTGATATCTGTCTATATTTCTGAGATGAAGTATTATGTACATTATTTACATTATTCGGACTATTGTCCTCATCTTTGTTACCATATTTATTACAATGTTTCGGCCATTGTACACTCTGGCCTTCTTCACTTGGTTGGAATGTTGAACTGAACCCTTTATTTCGCTCACTGGAGTAGACTGTTCTAGTTCCACGTGCCATGTTTAATGGATGTCAGTTATCAGTTATCTCCTGTTAATTTCCCTCTGAAAGTTCTCCACTGCCTTAGCTGGGTATTGAACTCACACTCTTTGGGTCTTGTCACTGGATCTAACTCACGCTTTTATCCACTGTGCTGTGTGTCCTCAAGGACACGTGGCACAGTGGATAAAGGTGTTGTAATAAATATGGCGACAAAGATGAGGACAATAGTCCAAATAATGTAAATAGGGTTTATGTGATATTTTCAAAATTTTGTTTTTGTTAATCTTTCTGTGGTACTGTGGTCTACCTAACTGCAGCCAGTTTATGCATGAGTGAGTGTCATGTTATACACTGCATATCACAAAAACAACATTAATGTCACAGACTGGTGACTGGTAGTCACTTCAACAGTTCAATTAGGGAATATTGTTCTTAGAACTACAGGACAATTTTGGCCTTCAATTCTTTCACTCAAACATCAGTCTGCAAAGGAAAATTCTTAAGCTGGGGAATTTTTTTTCAGTTAACCCACTCTTCTTGGATAGTATCTTGCAAGAAATAGTGGAGTTTATTTTATAAACCTTACTTTTGTTTGCAGAGCTTATATGTAGTTGATACTATTGTAGAGGACCTACTTGAATAGTATTTCTTTAAATGGTTAGGAGATGATCTGGAGTATTTCTAATATCTACAGTTATCTGGTGGCTGAATCAGGGACAGTTTTCCTGGTATCATTTCAGACATCTATAAATTCCTTTGATAAGAAGTAATCAGAAAAGACAGCAGCAATATAATAAAATAAATTAAAAAGACATGAATCATAACAGGCAAAGCATGTAAGAAAATGATCTGAAAAGTAGAGTTTTTTTATTTTTATAAATTTAAATTAAATTTTATATTATCATACCCATCATCTTGATTTAGATATGTACTGAAAAACACAGTAGCTTACCTCATTGACAATGTGTTGCATATACAGTCTGCTGAAAATGGTTAAAACACCTAGACTTTGTTTCAAGCTCTCTTTCATTGTGAAGTTTTCAGCTTATGCTAACCAATCATGATTGCTCCTGGTGTATATAAGCTCCTGGTTTTGAAAGGCTAGCAGTCAAATTTTGACAGGAACTAATAACATGCCATCATCACCGAGCAAACCCTGTATTTTCAACTACCACAATGAAGGGCATTTTCCTAAAGAGTACCCTTGTCTTGAACGCCTACTGGGACTTAAGCTCACCCCAGACCTCAAGTAGAACTTGTATATATGATCTAATGTCAAAGATGCTGGAAAAATGGTCAGTTCCCTGTATTGCGCCAGTAAGTGCCTGACACCTCCTGCTATGCTTTACAAGAGCCAGATCAGACCAAAAATGAAGCACTGCTGCCTTATTTGGGCTGGATCTACCCAGTCTTCACTTTCCACTTTAAAAGAACCTAGGCTGCCTTGTTGGCGATGAATTTTCTACCCTACACCCTTTTGGCTATTTGAATTTAAAATGATACCAGCATATATCATATTGTCTATGCTGGGGTTGTTTCTTGCTTAGGCTTCTATGCGGTGATTGCTGTTGTACTATGTTCAACACCACTGTCAGGTATACAATATTAGAGATTACAAAGGAAGGCAAAGGGGACCTGACTGTATTGTGGTTGGATCTCACTAATGCCTACATGTCCATGACACACAAACTGGTGGAAGAAGCCCTAAATAGACATCACGTACCTCCATCAGTATGCGATCTCATTGTAGACTACTATGATAATTTCTGGCTGAGAGCATGTTCAAGTACAGCAACATCAGAATGGCAGACCCTGCAAAGGGTATCATCACAAGTTGCACAATGTCTGCTATCCTATTTTCATTGACCATGAACATGCTTGTAAAGGCAGCCGAGGTGGAATGCCGAGTCCTTGTGTCTAGCACTGATAAGGGCTTACATGGACGATTTAACCGTGACAATGTCATCTGTCAAGGGAGGTAGGTGGCACTTAAAGGGTCTTCAGGAAAATATGACTTGGGCCAGAATGTATTTTAAGCCAGCAAAATCCAGGTCATTAGTATTGAAGAAAGGCAAGGTCATGGAGAAAGTCCGGTTTACAGTCACAGGAGAAACAATTCCTACTCTGAGCAAAAAGCCTGTTAAGAGCTTGGGTAAGACTTTCAACAGCAGTCTGAAGACACAGCCACAATCCAGCAAACTATAAAAGATCTTGAGGAGTGGCTGACGAAGATCGACAAATCTGAACTGCCAGGATGTTTTAAGGCATGCATTTTTGCTCCGGATATTGTGGCCATTGCTCATCTATGATATTCCGATTACCACCGTGGAAACGTTAGAGAGAGCAATTAGTAATTGTTTGAGAAGGTGGCTGGGTTTGCCGAGATGCTTAAGTGGTGCGGCCCTCTATGGGAACAGCAACGCGTTGTGCCTCCCCTTTATCAGCCTTGTGGAAGAATTCAAAATCACAAAAATGAGAGAACGGCTGTATTTTTATTTATTTATTTTTGCTTAATTTAGAAATTCCAAAATTTTATTCTTATATACCTTCAGGATTCTATCATATTTTTGTTGTCTGTTATAGTTTAATTTTTCTATCTGCTTAATTTTGACATCCCCAATATGTAGCTTATACAGTGGGCTACCTCCTTTGTTGACAACTACAGTGGCATGGGGCTTAGGGGTTAAAATGGACAATTGATTTAGCCAAGAAGATTAATGGTGGAGGGTGATGACAAGGAAACACATGGGTAATTTTAACAAAACAAGATAAGGAATTTATTTACAAATTTACAATCTGGAAGTTGTATCAGTAGTGCATTTCAGGAAAATAAATCAGAAATTTTTAAAGTCTGTAGGGTTTAAGGGTTAAGGTTAGTAATCATGCTCTTTTAAAAGTTTGTGCAAAATTTGCACATTATTATTTGTTTTATTTTTAATTTAAAAGAAAAGCTTTATTTTATTATTTAATTTGTGTTTTTTAATTTAAACAGAAAGCTTTATTTACCACTTGTCATTGCTTTCTGACAGTGCGCAGTAATTTATATGAGTAAGATCAGTAAAAGCAGTAAATAGGCTGTTAATTACGCCTCTGCAAGTATAAAGTGTTCCACAGTGAATTTTTTGTTGTGATGATATAACCCAACTTCCCCATTCACGATAATGGACGGACTGGTTGCCGATTAAGTATGACCACAGCGGACAGTCGAAAAGTCTTCGTTTGTTAACACCTATTGAGGTTAGCATACTCCCGACTCTGTCTCTGTATTTGACACACCTACATCCGATTATAAACCTATCATTGAAAACCAACACTCGGGTTATTTTGTTTATTATATCTTGCATGAGATATAACATTTTTATTGTCGAAAACTTCAAAACGGTAGGTTTTATCAAAATTTGGACATTATTTTCAAGTTTAGCATATACATTTACATGAAAATATGACGATTTGGGAAAGTTATAATAGATTTTCTTTGCGGAGCTTAAAAAAGCAAATTGGTAAATTTCTATTTTAACACCCGTTCTAAATATCCCTTAAAATTTTTCAAAATCATCATAATTCCATGCAAATGTACATGTTGAACTCAAATTAACAAGTAAATTCTGAAGAAACCTACCGTTTTGGAGTTAACGACAAAAAAAATTGGAATTGTTGTTAGTCATTCGTCCCCCATTACTGCCATCATGAATACTGATTCACTGCGTAGTAATTCCAGTGGCCTTTGGCCTATTTACTTCTTTTACAGACTTTCCTTGCAGAAAATCACTACACACTACCATAAAGAAATGTAATTTTGTTTTTTTTGGGAAGTGTAGTTTTATTTATAACAAAAACAAAGTAAATAATACAATAGAACCTTTTTTCCGTTTTGAATAGCAATGACAAATTAAAAGAACAAATTAAATAATAAAAATAAAGCATTTTTTATATTTTAAAATTAAAAAAAATTAATGCACAAACTTGGTAAATTATTTAATGTTTTTTATTTTTTAATTTGTCCCCTTTTCTACACAGAAAGAACCCCCCTTAACCTTAACACCTAACCTTAAAGTTAACCTGTTTTATTGTATTATTTAATTTTTTTTTAATCTGTCCCCTTTTCTATACAGATTAACTTTAGTGTTAGGTGTTAAGGTTTTTTTTTCAGTGTAGAAAAGGGGATAAATTAAAAAAAAATATTAAATAATAAAATAAACCGGCTTAACTTTAGGGTTAGGTGTTAGGGATAGGGGTGGGGGTTTTCTTTCTGTGTAGAAAAGGGGACAAATTAAAAAAATAAATAAAATACAATCAACCCTTCTTTTTTTTACCAAGTTTGTGCATTAATTTTTGTTTTATGAAATATAGAAATAGACTCACAGAAAAAAAGGTTTCAGAAAAATGAAATTTTCTTATGAGGTTGAAATATTCAGTCGATCGTTGGCAAATAATAAAAGGATATTTAAAATATTTACGAACTAAATATCCTACTTTTATTTAAAAACTTCCATCCTTATGTCATTTAAAAGCAAAAAAAAAAAAAATACGGAAGAACCATGTGCTTTGCTTACCAACACGAGGAGAGCCCAAACTTCCGGTAAGTATAGAAACGCATGCGTGAAAATCAACAGCATATGTACTTCCGTTTTATATGTCAGTAGAGAAAAAGCAGTCCGAAAATGAACACGTTTCTTTCCAGGGCGAATACTATATTCGCTTTCACACTCAGTGTGATGGCAGCTCTCACATTTGCTTGTTTTTTATCGACAGGATTTAATGATCTACAGGCTAGCACAACTATTAAAACTGGTCGGGTATTAGTGTGAGTAAAGTTTTTAAACCTTTATTAGGAGGAGTGGAATAGTGAACACAAAGTCGGTGTCTATTGGTAACGTTCTGGTTTTTAATGTCATTTACTTACTAAATGATTTTCTCTTTTTATTTGTTTGATTTTTTTCTTTATTTTGTTAAACATTTAGAGTTTAGGTGCAAATTACTAATTACTTTTTGATATTTAATTTTTTTACTTTCGCTCTGTTTCTATTTGAGAGAAAAGCCGATTTTCCCCAAACCTAAATAATACCTTTTTTTTCTATCTCTTGTTGATTTCTTTGTTTTCACTGGCCGAAGAAAACCCCAATCGTTTCTTTCCTATACAAATATGCAATTTTAATATTTATTCAGATAGTTATAATAATTCATACTAAATTTTAGTTTTTAGTTGGAAAGGAACTCTTTTAAAAATTAAACAGTGGTTTTATGTTAGTTACTTTCTAGTTTTTAATAAATCATAATTTTGCAATGAATAGTTTTCGTTCGAAAACGTGATTACAGTTTAATAACGATATTCAATTACTTTATTAAACTTTATAGATGGCTTTCACTCACCTCATATTGTAACCACCAATTCCCCAATATAAAATATGAACTTATTGAACTATAATCCAACTGAAAGTGAAAAGGTCAGACCTAGGCAGGTACCTGTCTCTAGATATGAAATCTTGCATCAGAGATTAAAAAAAAAAAAAGAAATAACGTCCGAAATACAAAAACAATTACCTAATTCCGGTGGAATAAAGAATCAAAAAGATATTTATTCTTAGAATAGAATAATACATTATTTTTCAAAGTTTGGTTATTCCTCCTTTATACTGCATTCAGAAAATGAAGCGATAAGCAATCTAATGAAGATAATTCAGAATTCTGTATTTAAGGGGAAAAAATCTGTTCGGTTGTTAAACTGGATAAATGTCTATTTTTGAAAGAAACAAAAAAATATTGAAAAAGCAACCAACCGGCATTTTCGTTACTTTGCTTCAGTTTTCATGAAAAAATATAAGTAAATCCGGATCAATTAAAAAAACAAAATTAAGTTTCACTCGTTCTTTATTTTTAATTTGACCTAAAAAGTAAAATTAAAAATGTTTGAAATGCGAAGCTGTATATTTTTTCCAAGTTTGATAAAAAAAAAAAAAAAATTACTCTTAAAAATTTTTTAAAGGATTTTTTATATTTTGCACTACAGTTTAAACAAAAAAGCTTTACTGTCTCTCTAGCTCACAGCTTTTAGGAGTTTGATTTTTATTAATTAATTAGCATCTGTAAAAATCAATCAAATCATTAGTTTTTTACTAATATTTGGATTTTTGTTGCTTGTTGAGATTGGTTACTTGGGAGAATTAAACTTTCTATTTATTTTTTCAAATTAGTAAGTTCGTTAGTTTTTATTTTTTCACTTTTTGTATAAGGAAAATGATGTTTAGTTTAAATTTTATTTTTAATCTAGAGAAACATTAAGTTTTCTTTGACTTAAAGATAACGTTTTAAAATTGATGCCGCTGTTGCATGTGTAAACGTAAAAACATGACGTGTTGATAAGTTTTTTTTTAAAAATGCTCAACAGAAGTCAACAGCTGTTAATGTTAAAAGTTAACTCTGCAATTAGTAATTTCATTTTTTTTTAATGTAATTAATTATAAACATTTCTAGTGTTTTATTTTGTTTTAGAGTGAAGGATATTTTTTAAAATAATTTTATTTGTTTTTATGGTTCAAGTAAAGAAACGTAAGCTAAGCAGAAGTAATATTTTTGCATTTTTTATAGAAATATTGAAGGGCGAAAATGACCTGTAAAGTTGATCAAATTATTTTAAAAACACGTGTATCGCGAGGGTCCCTTTTATGTCTTTGCTACAGTGTTACTCATGAAGCCATAACTCTAAAAAATAGATAATTTTTTTTTTTCAAGTAAAAAAAACAATAGTTTGTAATTGTTTTGTTTTTTTTAAAGTATAGTTCGTTTTTAAAATTAAAAAGAAATTAAATGTTCTGCAAGTAAAAACGAAAAGAAAGAATAGGAAAAATATATTGACAATGACGGATAAATTTCTAACTTAGTGACATTAAAATTACTGTGTACAGTACACATGTACGAACTTCTTAAATTTAAATTTTTCATTTTATTTATTTGAAATGAAAGAAAACAAAAACATCTGAAGCACAAAATTCCATAACGATTTGGTTTGTAGGTAGACATATACTGATGTAGATAATTACTAAAATAAAAGCTTAATCAGTAATTCAAAGTGGAACACCTTACTTAAAGGAAGCACAAGTGACATTAGCAAAAAAGTGTTTCATCACAAGGGGATAGACAAGAAGTGGGGATGAAATTCTTGAACTAATGAAAAAGATATTACATAACAAGGAATGGCAAAAAAATATAGGATATTAAGCAAAGGCATAAGAAAGAAATGCAAGCAAACAAAAGATATGACTCAATGAGAAGTGTGCAGAGATAGAAAGCACTACATGTGCAAAAAAAAAAAAAAAATTTAGAAAAATAGTCGGGCAAAAAAATGTGATCTTCAAATAGGTTGCACATGAATCTAAAAGGAACATTCAATATAAAAAAGAGAAGCTACTATAAAAAAAATGGAAGGAATGCATTAGTGACCACTTTCATGATAAAAGGAGAGAAACCTAACATGGAAGCAGAATTGAGCAGTATTGACCAAGATGAACATAAACATAGCAGCAGGAATAGATGGGGTTGTAACAGATGTCAGCTTTAAACAATTACTGAAACGCTAAATGACAGCAGCAAAATACCAGAAGACCAATATATTTATCTTCCTGGTAAGGCCAAAGAAGCCAAATGAATGAACTTCATTGAACAGTCAGCTTAAACCATATAACCTATCACGGTCTGTTGCAAAAATTTGATAGCACTGCTTTAGATTTGACCCTATTACTATTTATAAGAAATGTGAACTCATGTGACTTATAAATTTGCATGTTACATTCTTCCCTCCTAGAAAAATGAGGATTTTTTTATTATTGTTTTGATATAATTACTAAAGAATACAATTTATTTATTTACTAAATAATATAATTATTTATTTTAATCCCACTCATATGGTGTAGGGGGACTCTTTGATATACAGTTCAATCTTCAAAGTTGGGCTGTATTAGGCATTGTCAGTTCTGGATATTAGTTTTCTCTTTGAAGACTTTAAAAGGTGTCGATGACTCAGAGTAGGTGACTGACCAGTTGTCAAACTACAACTTTCTTCAGTGGGAAATCTGGTATAGGTTTGTGAAATTTAACAAAGTGGGGAGAATTCTGAATGATTGGGACGACGAGCTAAATCATGAACAGATACAATTCAGGCTATTTGATGTTGGCAATGGTTGGATTGTTATCAATAAGTTCCCCTTTATCTACTAAGGGGCAGCTCTTGTTAGTACAGACAAATCATCTTAACAGTACATGTCCGGGTTTCATTAACCAAGATGGGAGTGAGTTTCTATGAGGAGTACATCTTTGAAACTTGAAGAACTGCTCATGGGGTGTACAGTTAGTAGCAGTACTCAAGAGATCGAATAGAATGAAGTGTGTGGCAAAACTTGTTAGCAATGTTTTTCTGTTAGGTTTCAAGTGACTAGTTTTCCATATAACTCATTATATTGCACTGTCTGTCCATTACCTTGGAGATGTTGTGATGTCAAATTACTGGTAGCAGCACATTTACTCAGTAAATACTCCTTCAATTCTTGTGAACAACCTCTGAGTGAATATAACCTGGCATTTCATACATACTAAGCATTGTTTCTAGGCAGTTAATAACTGTTGAAGAGTGCATATTTGGACATCGTAATGCAAATGGGTAATGAGAGGGAACTCTGCAAGATGCAAAATATTTTCTTTATATCTTCAGGTAAAAAGGGAGATTCCAAATGCAAAAGTATTGATACACCTAGATGGCATAATTTTCTTGTCTAAATTCACAAGAGTTGAACCTTGGGAAATTACCCAAGCATCTGCAGCTACGTTATTCCTCCCAGGTCGATATTTGATGTCAAAATTTAGTTCACCAACCACCATTTTTCCATTCATTGATTTATTTCAGCATTTTTTATTTTTGTATGCTTTTGGTTATCATACATAAGAGACTGATCTGACATTGGTATATGATTTGAAACATTATTGTGACAAAAGATACCTCTGTTTACATATTGCAATGATTATGGCCAAGGCCTCTTTCTCAACAATAATATATCCCTTTTTGCTTCCTTAGAGTGTTTCTGGCATAAATGTGACTGACCTTCCATTTTGAATTAGTACTGCAGATATAGCATTATTCAAAGCATCACAATCCACCTCGAAAGGCAAGTTTTCCTCAGTAGCTCTACATAACTCAGATTTTAACGTCTCGAAAGCATGAAGAGCTTCTTTATTCAGTGTGAACTGATTAATTTTAACTAAGGGATGTATTTTATCCAAAAATTCAGGTATCCATTTTGCATAGCCCACAGACATTCCCCATCATCCTATTAAGTATTCCCATATTTTTAGGGGGATGCATTTCTTGTAATGGCTTCATCTGTTCTGGGTCAGGCCTAATGATACCATTTCCCATGCAATATCCTAGAGCAGGGGTGGGAAACCTTTTTGTGAGTGTGTGTCAAAACTGGCCAAATCTCTGACACAAAATTTTTCTAGAATATATTTAATATCTCTTAAGTATGTGAAGAACTTTTTTAAATGATAAAAAATCACTCCACAGGAGTAAAGACACAGTAGTGTAAAAAAAATTATGTAAATCAGGTAAAAATGACTGAATGAATATAATTAGGCCAAGCTTTTACGAAAAGGTTGTGATATTTTTTATTAGCTTTGTAACTGCCATAAATACACAATTTAAAGACACTATTAACTATTATTAGTATCAACACAAAAAGCTAACATATTTTTTTTCAATTAATCAATCATCCTTTTTTTCCCAGTTTTTCATTTATGAGGCTAAAACACAATAAAAGG